TGAGCACCTAAAACAAGAAGGCAATTGCACTGGGCAGCAGCAGAATAGGAAGGTGCTAGATGGAGGATCATTTTGGCAACAATAGCAAAGGCATAATTTCACCAAGAAAGACCACATGGATAGTCAGTGTAAAATGATACATGATATAGCACCAGATTATGGGTCCCAGGAAAGATAGCATTCAGCACACTACTGAAGAAAAGCTGAGAATCATTTGAAGTAGTTATAATGCTCATGATACAGGTAGATTTTTTTAAAATTTTATTTTATTTTTATTTTTTATTAAAATTTTTTGAAATTTTACAATAAAAACCCCTTCCCCAATCCCTCCCAACCCTCCCCAAAACCCTCCCTCATTCTTCCCAGAGCTGAATACAGGCTTAACTAGAACTTAAAAGAAAAAAAAAATAAACCCAAATAAATCTTAAACCAATATCATTACACTTAGTAAACAGATTATAACATACTTTAACTCCATTATATATAAAAAACAGAAAGAAAAAAAAAAATAAAAAAATTAAAGAATAATAATAATTACATTTCTAAATAAATATCTTAAACTTTAAATATAAATTATTCAAAAACTAGATGGTATTTTCTTATATCATACTTATATTGTATAAAATTTATCCATCTTTTCCACACCAAAAAGTACTTCTCTTGCGACTGACCTTTCAAGAAAGCCGAAATTTTTGCCATTTCCACTAAATAAGATACTTTAAAAAACCATTCTTGCAAAGTAGGCAAAGATTCCTTCTTCCAATATTGCCCTATTAACAACCTAGCCACAGTAATTAAATTTAACATAAAATAATTTCTTTATCATCACAATCTGAAACAATACCCAACAAAAACAGTTGTGGAGTAAATTTTATCCTTCTTTTAAAAATTCTTTGAATATTCCACCATATCTTAATCCAAAAAGCTTTTATACTTTTGCATGACCACCAAATATGATAATAAGTGGCATCCAAGCAACTGCATCTCCAACATCTAGGCTGCAGGTTTGAATACATACGAGACATTTTTTGTGGATCAAGGTGCCATCTATAAAACATTTTATAAAAATTTTCCTGTAAATTTGTGTAAATTTAACATTCCTCACCCAAATAATCTCCCAAGTGTCTAATAAAATCGGTTCATCAAAATTTTGTGCCTACTTAACCATACAGTCTTTAACTAACTCTGCTTCTGAATCCAATTCCACTAACACACCATAAATTCTTTTAATATGAATTTGACTTTGATCTCTAATTTGTTTTAACAAATTCTCATCCTCTCTAAACAAGTCCACCTTATAATCTATCTTCCACCTTTCCGATAGTTGTCTATACTGAAACCAAGAATAGATAATATTTTCTTGTACTAATTCATCCATAGATTTTAATTGCCAATTTTTACCATCCCACTTAAGTAATTGTGTATAAGAAATAGTATCCATCTTGACTCCTCTCCTTATTCCTTCTATTGCATGCCATGGAATAGCCCATAATGGAATTCTTGAATCACTTCTGTAATATTTCTTCCAAACCCGAAGTAAAGACATTCTTAAAATGTGAGATTTAAAAACCCTATCAACCTTTTTATTATAAATTAAATAGGCATGCCATCCAAACAGTAAATCCCATCCTTCCAAAAGGAGTATATCTACATTTGTTAAATTAACCCAATCACTAATTAATGTCAAAACCACAGCATCATAGTACAATTTCAAATTCGGTACCTTGAGTCCACCTCTCTCTCATATATCTTGTATAATTTTAAGTTTTACTCTTGGTTTTTTCCCTGCCCAGATAAATTTATTAATACCTTTCTGCCACTCATCTAAATTTGCTTCTTTCTTTAGAATATGTATCATTTGAAATAAGAAAAGAAATTTTGGCAAAACATTAATTTTAATCGCTGCTATTCTCCCCAAGAGGGACAATTGCAGCTTTTTCCAATTATCCAAATCCTTTTGTATTTTAACCCACAACATTTCATAATTGTTTTTATACAGTTTTGCATTAGAAGCTGATAAAATAACCCCCAAATATTTTACCTTATTAACAACCTCAAAACCTGTCGATCTAACCAAAGTCTCCTTATCCAAGTTGGTCATATTCTTAGGCAATATTTTAGTCTTATTATTATTAATTTTAAAACCTGAAACTTGTCCGTATTGATTTATCAATTGTAACAACTCCATTACAGAATAAGTTGGTTGAGATAACAACTAGATCATCTGCAAAAGCGCTTAATTTATATTCTTTTTTATTAATTTCTATTCTTTTTATCTTCAATGATTCCCGAATTTTAATCAATAAAATTTCCAAGGTTAACACAAACAGCAATGGGGACAATGGACAACCCTGTCTGGTCCCCTTTTTTATACCTCTGATAAACCTCCATTAACTATAAGTTGTGCCGTTTGTTTTTGATAAATGGCTCGAAGGGCCTGTAAAATTTTGTCTCCAAAATTCATTTCCTCAACCAGTCTTAGCATAAATTGCCAATTTAATTGATCAAAAGCTTTTTCAGCATCTAAAAATATCAATCCTGCAGAAATTTGATTATTCTTATCCAGATATTCTATTAAATTAATAATTTATCTGACATTATTTTTCATATACCTTCCAGTTATAAAACCAGTTTGGTCCATATGTATTAATTGGTTCAACACAATCATAAATCTATTAGTTAAAATTTTCGAAAAAATCTTATAATCTACATTCAAGAGAGATATAGGTCTATAATTCTTTGGTAACGTAAGATCTTGGTCTTCTTTTGGAATCAAAGATATAAAAGCTCTACCCCAAGACAAGGGGGTCTCTAAACCCTGTAATATATTATTAAAAAGTTCCCTTAGAGGTTCTATCAACTCATCTATCAAAGTCTTATAATAAATTGATGTCAATCCATCAGTACCAGGTGCTTATGATACAGGTAGATTAAAGTCTTTAAGACAAGCATGTCAAACTGCCGGCCCATGGGCCGGATGTGTCATGCTGAAACCGTACCAACCCCATTGCCGACAATGGGGAAAAAGTCACGATACATTGTGCAACGTCACGTGACATCACAAGTTTGACATGCCTGCTTTACGACATCTAGATGCTGATGTTGCTAGTCAGAAAAATAAAATCTGAAGCTACAAAGACAGAATTATAGTAGTACCATGGGATGAAAGAAGCATGAACATGGAAAAGTTCAATACAATGAAGATGAAATGAATTAATTGCATATTGAGATCTTAGGTATCATTGACTAGAAATGAACTGAAACTGGATTCTTTCAGTCAGAAGACCATATTATATACTTAATAAGGCACAAAAACAACAAAGAAATGGCATTTCTTTCACAGTTAAGAAAGATAAAGCAAAGTCACTACTTTAATGGAATGCTGTCAGTGACAAATTAATATCAATTTGACTTAATAGTTGCCCATATGATATGATAGTTACTATGTTTGTGCTCCAGCCATTAATTCAGAACAAGAGTAAATTTACAGTCAACCTCAATCTGAAACCAAGAGAACATGCAAGCAAGATGTATTGCTTGTGGTTGGTTACTCGAATGCCAAAGTTGGAAATAATAGGAGCAAAATGTAGATGGAAAGTGGGACTTAAAATACACAGATGAAACAGGAGTTCCATTTTTCAATTTCTACAGATCCAATAATGTTTTCATTGCTAACACAGTCTTCAAATAGCTAAAACAGTGCCCATATACATGGTCATCCATATACAAATCGATTATTTTATTGTTATGCAGATGTAGAAGAACTCATTTATAATGGAAAGAAGTGGCCAGTAGCTGATTGTGTAACAAATCATGAACAGTTTATGTGCAAGGTCCAAAACAAACTAAAGCAGAAGAACAAAGTCAGTCAGTATTCATAATATGAAATATCCCTCATTTTCAGGAGAATATGAGGAATTTATTTTAAGTCCATCAATAACCATTGACCAGAAACCAGAGGACATGATATCTGTCTTTAAGGATGAATGTGAAAAGAGATTGTGAAAGAACAAGAAATGGAAGAAACCAAAATAGTGGAAAAATGGTAGAAATCACCAAGACATAAAAGAAGGCAAAGCAAAGAGAACAAACCTTTCAGAAACGAATCTAACAAAAATACATAAAAAAACAAATTTCTTAGAAGACATAAGAAACAATATTATAACATCTGTAAAGACACCGAAGATGGAACAGACACAGAAAAATAAAGGAAGTCTTTCAAAAGATCTCTGAATTCAGAAAGGTATTTCAACCATACCAACAGAAGATAATATATGTAGGTCTGGATTGAACTGTGGAATCCTTGGTGCTCTCTGGACTTGGTTGTTTTGCTGCAGATGTTTGTTTACCCACCTAGGTAACATGCTCAGTGTGAGGTACTGGCACTAGCAGAATATTAGGTATAACGTCTTCAGTTCAGCTTCAACAACCAAAAACTTCACAGTTCCAGCCTTAAATTGGTATCCTAAAGGACACCAGTGGACAGACAGTAACTGATTCGAAGAAGATCAAAGATGCTAAAATTCTGTATAGTAGAGATGTCAACATCCAAAATACCTTAGAAGTTAAGCCCTAATTTCCAAGAACCTCTAGTACTTATTGACCAATCTCAAATTATCCTGCTTTGCACACATTATTCAAAGACTTAACTGTCTTACAATGTTAATAATCTTGGGAAAAGTGAAATGAAATAGAAGAAACAACCAGCAGCAAGATGAATGGACTTAGTGATGAATGAACATTTAGAAAATCTGAAGGGCCAAGTTGGGGACATAACATCCTGGAGAAGTTCTATCAATTTAGATGCTGTTTATATTGATTTGATGGGGCATAATGACTCAATCAATGAATCAGTCTATCTAGATTTGTTTTCATATATTTTTTATGTTTTAATTATGCATTTTATAAAAGTTTCATACCTTTTAGAGATTTCTGTTTCAAACATGTGTTCCAATACAAACTTCTTTTTGTTTTCTATCTTTCTATGAAGCTATGCCATTAGATATGCTGAACTGAAAATACTGCAGCAATGTGGACATTTTACATTTTAAAGTCCAAGCTGATCAGCATAATTGTTGCTATACTTTCTATATGCTTCAAATATACAGTATCTGCATTTTACGTATCTTCTAGGGTTCATTGTATTTATCTTAATACTTTAACCTTTGTAATTTAAATCTATCTAACTTTATGCATTCTGCAGCTGTTTCTACAGGATTAAATTTCCTTTCTAGAATGTTGAATCTTTTATGCTGTTCTATAATTGTAGTGTTTTATTAATGGCATTATAAGCAACATATAAGTTTGCTATACTGGCATTTTCTAGCAGCCATTTGAATTAATGCAGATTCTGTTACCATAATATTTTATAAAAGGAACACAAATAACTGTTCCAAGTGAAACAGAAGCAGAGAACTCCACGATCACACAATTTTCTCAGATTTATTGCCTGTGAGTCTCTGTGTAGATCTGAGAAATTTCACAAATTGGAAATGGCTTCACCACATTGTCTTGTGTATTTATAAGGGCTTCCCAATTACCAACATTCTTTTTCAAAGACTTTTAGATATAGTCAGCTCTTATTTATTACATGCTTTCTTTTTAAAACACATTTTTCATGGAATATGTATCAGTTTGCCTTACTCAGTGTTAAGATTCATTTTGCTAGATGTCAGTATGATTACCCAGTAGATAAACAGTTTTGTGAATCAAAGCCCCATTTTGCTCAGACTGAGCTAAGTGAAGCTGGTGTTCAGGAACAGGAAGAGAAGAAATCAAAATACTGCACAGTACGATGGTTACGTTATAAAAATTCTGCTGAAATGGAAAACAGAGGTACGTTGAATGTTTGCTCATAATGTTCATTGAGAGCTTTAAGGCAGAGCTCCCCAACCTTTTGGGCATCAGGGGCCAGTTCTGTGGAGAAAGGTTTTTCCATGGTCTGGAGAGTGGGTGGTTTTGTATGCTGCCTGCATCCCACAGATAGGGCTTTGCTTTTTTGTGAGAACTGGTTGCTGGCATGCTGCAGCCTGGTACCAGTCCACGGACTGGGGGTTGGGGACCCCTGCTTTAAGGGATGAAAATATTTCCCATCTTCATTTTTCTACCCAATCTGTTGCTACTGTTCTAAATAAGCTATTTTTATTTAATTTTATTTTTTTTCTCTCACCAAGAAAATGATCCAGGCTACTTAGGGATCACAGAATGCATAGCTACTGTGTGTAGCATTGTAATATTAATTAGATTTGGCTACACCAGGGATTGATAGTATTCTCAACTTTAAGGACCACATTATTCTCTTAGAGGAAGATAGTCAAGTACTATAGTTGCTGGAGTCAAGGCAGAAGTGGACAGGCTTATACTTTTCTTTGCCTTTTTCTTCTTCTCTTTTTGTATCCATTCATTTTAGGGTTAGTAGATCTGGGCTGCAAAAATCCAACCACTTTTCAGCAGCATGCAACAAATTATAACTCAGTGCTGCTGACTAATTGTACTCAGGATTTTAACAGTCCAGGTCTGTTAACCCTGATTCATCTGTTATTCATTTAATCACCCATTTATTGTCTTTCATGTCCATATCTAAACACAAAGCAGCCACTGTGATTGTCTCCATATGTTTGCTACTACATTCCCAACCTTCTGGATCTTTAGCAAATGAAGTCAGCTCTAATAAGATGACAGATATGCAAGCGCAGTAGGCATCAGTCAAATTAATTTTAAAGGGCAATATTTTCCCTTGGGTTCCATCAACTTTCCTTCCTTCTAGGATGACTCACAGCCAAACAGCTTTATAGTAGTGAATAAGGAGCACAACTGTAGAGTGAGTTGGACTGTCAGAACTGATCCTAGTATTTGCAGTAGTCTTCTTCCTATCCTCTTTTTCCTCCTCCTCCTCCTCCTCCTCCTCCTCCTCCTCCTCCTCCTCCTCCTCCTCCTCCTCCTCCTCCTCCTCCTCCTCCTCCTCTTCTTCTTCTTCTTCTTCTTCTTCTTCTTCTTCTTCTTCTTCTTCTTCTTCTTCTTCTTCTTCTTCTTCTTCTTCTTCCTCCTCCTCCTCCTCCTCCTCCTCCTTGCTTAATTATGAGTTCTTTAACATTTTGAAATTTTGCATAACACCTGAAATTACATCTAACGTAGTTATTGCCTGAATAACCTTTAGCAACAGACCATAATTTTGTCTAAGAAATAATGACCCTTTCTAACTTGCAAATTGTACAGAGAATACCTTTGCTCTGTAGATAGCTACTGTCTTTTTCATATAAGAAGGTATAGTATTATGCCAATCTCCATTCAATCTTATTCCCTTGCTTAAAAATCAAGGAATTTCCACCATATAACTCTGTATATTAAAGCTATCTATATTAATCTATATTCTTGTTATTTATTTAAATAATTTTATCCTTTCTTTAAAAATAATAACTTGCTCTATCATTAATAGTTAGGATATGATTCTGTAATAATTTTACTTATATCATATTCAATTATCTTCATTTTTTCATAATTACCTTTTCATTATACTGTTCAAACTATACTTGAAAATTGCAATTGCTTTTCCTGGGGAGAATTATTTCATTAATTTGGGTATTATTTATTTATTTTATTATTATATGGAACAAACCCAGTTTTTTCCTAGAAGCTCCTTGATGTCTGCCTGTCTGCCTGCGTGCCTACCTGCCTGTCTGCCTGCCTGTCTGTCTTTTCCCTCTTATTCTTCAGGGATGTCCCAGATGACAATTCAATAATAATCTTCTAAAATAAGTAGGGAGAAAATCATTAGTCCTTAAACCTTTGATCCATTGCAAGGGTCATTCTGGAGTGGTGAGAACTAGAAGTGATTGGGAGAAATAAATGCTCATTTAATTTTCAAAAGGGGAGGAAGAGACTATAGGCACTGTTCTGTCACTCAAATAAAACTATAAACCACAAGGTGCTATATTCTCAAGATCTATTTTAAATAAACAGCTCAGTTCATTGCTTTTAGGGTACTAACATCTCTTCAGAGTTTTCAGTGAAAGCACAAAACCCAGTGACTGACTGCAGCTGAAGTCTTAGAATAGCAATGAAGCATGTCAAAGGCCAGCCACTTCTGGAGCTCAAGCTCCTGTACATTTCTTGCACACTGACTTCCAAGCTGTCCTTTGGAAACTATATGGAAAGCAGCAGCAACCTTGATCCATATGAGGAGCCATTGTCGTATAAGCCCCCAGGCTGAAGAAAAGATCATTATACATATTACTTGTCTGCTGACTTAAGCAGAATGAAATTATCCAGCGTTTTCAAAGAAATGCCGCCTCCATTTTGTAAGCAAGGCTCGAGGCATCAGGATCCATGCCTCCCCTTTTGCTAACCCACAGTTATTAGCAATGCCACTAGTAAATGTATTAGAACCTCACCTGTTTTAGTGCTGTTACTGAAGAATAAATAGATCTGGAAGAATTACACTGCATTGGTAGTGAATACCTGACAAACAGGAATGCTATGGAGAGAAAGCAAAAAGATCAGTTTAGCTACATTTGAAGGTGGCCTTGTATATAAATAGAATAGCGAAGTAGATATTTACCACTCTGAACCTGTCAGTCTGGATATACGATAGCATTAAGGTTTCATTATGTTCAGAGAGAGAAATGCACGCACTGTCAATTGCCAAAAAGAGAAGCTTCATTGCTTCATGCTTAATCTGGATCTAAGGAAAATATAAGCTCTCTTAAAAGTTGCTTCTTAAACTCCCTAGCGGCACCCACTCCCCAGCTTATGAATGTAATTCACAATTACTTTTATTAGTGGGCCACTTTAAAGCAAAGATAAGGTGGGGGTGTAGCCCTGCTCTCCTATAAGTTGCCTGAAAAGCCATATGGACTCATTTCTTAACAGGTTTTCACTACTATTCACTAGCGAGTGGTACTTCCAAGCAGTATTAAATTAACTCTCACTGCCAGCTGCTGGCCACTATAAATCTACTACAGTTTTATATATGTATTTATCTGTTTGACAAAAGTTTCTCATGAACCCACACAAGATACTGTTGGTGGTATTTAGTCCTGGGAAATTTTTGATGCATCCTATATACACATATAATTGTTCGTTGATGGATGCTTAGGAAACTAATACCTTCTCTTCCACTTTTTTGATGCAATTGCAAAATGTAGATGGAACAGATTCAGATGCCAATGGATGGTTTTGTGTTTTTAAGTTTTTTTCCCAGCATGAAGATGGACTTAAATGGCTAGTTTATGATCACCACATAAATATAATTATACTTGTCTTAAAAAAATAGACATAATGGTAAAGTACAGTAACTGTGATGGAGATATAGAGAGGATATTCTTTCTGCCCAAGCATTATGTCAAGTTAAGAAATGTTTCTGCTTTGCAATATGTGAGAGTTTTGTTCAGCTTGTGGGGGTGTTGATTTTCAGAAGAATTTATCCAAATATCATCCATCATAAAAACTGGAATGCAAGTTCAATGTGAAAAAAAAGCCTGGGATTTCTCCATTAGGGAAGATGGCTGTGGATATTGACCTCTCAGAAGTCTGAGCTTCAATCCCTTTATGTTTTATTGTGTTCAGGGTGCTATCTAGCAAGCAATTGCAATTTGATCTGCTTCATGGTAGGAATAATTGCACATTGCTGTTATTTAAGAATTAACTTTAAGTTTGAGAATCAAAATTTGCAAGCTTCTGGTAATGTGCTAGGGTTTAAAAGTTGGAAAGTGGAAGCAACTTCAACTTGGGATTGTTTCATCTTTACTTCTTTTAAGAATTGAGCAGACATGGTTTGAGGCTCCTTCTCAAGAACATCCTTTTTATGAAATCTCTCCCCTGTTTTCATTTTTTTTTTTTGTAAGAAACAGAGAAATGCTACTGAAGTGAAGCAGTAGATTTACAAAGGTGGTCAATATCATGATTAACTTGGTAATGTAGAAGGCTGATCAATCATATTATTGATCAGTTTAAGAAATGCATTAGAGTAACCATGTAGTATGGTTATATGTGTCAATGGCAGAGTACACAGATATTGAACTAGTCAAATTGTCTTGCAATGGATGCACATAATATTAAACAGAACCAGAGCCAAAGGCTTCACAAACTTTTTATTTCAATCTATGAAATTAATCTCCAGAACAGCTTACAAAATGACAAATAACAATAACAACAAAGAAAACCTTCATAATTAATAGACACCCCTTCCTCCTAACAGCTGAGAGTTTAATGAAATTAGGGGTCTGTTTATCACATGCAACATTTTCACACTCATTCTCTAGGCATCATTTTTAACCCCACATCTAATCAACGTGCATATGAAACCAAGAAGCAAAACCAAGTACACATTACTGATGAGCAGTTCATCTTCCGCCAGGTTTGAAATTACTTGGGTGTTTCTGAGCTTTGTCAATGAGGATGGTAGAACAGCTGTGAGAATTCTTTCCCAACTGGAAATCTTAGCATGAATATGGTGTTTATTAATCAGAGGGCACTCTGGGAATGATAATTAGGGCTAGCTTCCTAGGTATGGTTTAGGTTTTGTTGATGAATTATTTGATTGATTCTAAATTTCAGACACAAGTTCAGATATAGCTAGTCCTTAACTTATGACTACAATTGGAATTGTGGAATTTCTTTTGTAAATCATTGTGGTCATAAGTCAAACCAGATTCAATGTTATGACAATTTGTATGGTGGTCAGCTTCTCATTTTATTTTGCTGAAAACAGCAAAAACAGGTGGCAAATAATGATCATATAACTGCAGGATGCTGTAAACAATCATAAATGTAAGCTTTTTTTTTTTTTTTTATTAAAAGTTTTATAAATTTTACAAAAAAGAAAAAAGAATACAAAA